TCTTATATTTTATATTAATATGTGTGAACAATGCTTGTTACATTTGTGAATGAAACAGAGAGCCTCAGCAAGGATTAGTGGTTGATCATTAAATCTTATCAGCAACAAACTACATAAATAACAACAACAGAGCAGTTGTTTAGGTAGCAAAATTAGTAGTTGCAACAAGGTTTTGCATCTGCATAGGCTTTATTTTCTCATTCTGTGCTGTCTTTGCATTTTAATTTTGGGTGATGACAGGGTTGGCTAAGCACACTTATATCAAAGAACCTCAATTCCAGCACAGTAGTTTTTAGATCTGCTTGCATGTAGAATGTCTAAGGAAGCTAATAAAAATAAAGCCTGTCCTAGGATGTTGCACAGAAGCCACTGATAGAAAGCAAAGGTGCCTCTTGGGGTATTAACATGTGTAGAGCCAGAGAAGCAGTACTCAGCTATGATGTGATATGTCCCCCACTGAGGTCACAAGCAGTGGGAGCCAGCTGGTCATTATAAATTAACTTATAAAGTCACATCCAAATATATATATTAAAATCCCCACTGCCAAGGATGTCATGACTACTCTCTGGGTTTTAAGGGTACCTATTATACATGTTCTTATAATCAACAGATCCTCAGTTTATATATTCAAAACTGGAATTCTGGGCTTCCTATTCAAATATGTTCCTCCCAAGTGGTCTCCTTCTCCTTTGATATGTCTATACCTACCTGGGCTCAGATAAGACAATAGAGTAATTTGTTTTTTGTTCCTTCCTTTCTCTGGACTGATATCTAGTCCATAACTTCTGATGACAACAGTTCTTACCTTCTCTCATGCTCCAAATTAACCTACAAATACCCAGCTTGGCTCAATAACTAAAGCAACATCTTAGCTGGTCTTGCTTCCAGAAAAGGCATGACATGGTGGCTCAAAGCATGAACCACGCTACTGTTGTGCATCCCCAACATGTCCCTTTATAGCCAAATGACATGAGGGAAGGGCCACTGAAGGAATAACATGGCTGCTGCCATCTTGAATCACTACCACCATGACTATGTCAGGTTAACCCAGTTGGGTTTTCCTGTATAGTTAACCCAGGATGCTACAAATAGAAATGTTTTAATTGCATTTAGAACTTTATAACTAAGCCCTGGCACCAGGAGTGTGCCTGATTCCTAGCTTAAGATAAGCCAGGTACAATTTGGCTTTGATGAAGTCACTTTTATCTTAATTGGTCTTGCTGCCACCCAGGATCATGCTTCTCTAAGTTCTCCAATTTATTGCACCCTCCAATCCTGGATCTGTTGGCCTCACCTCTTTCTCTGGTCTCAGGACACCTTGGAGCCAGTTCTCATACACTAGGACTGAGTTGTCCTAGAATATGCACCTTCTGCCCACATTCCATCATAGTCTTCCAAACACTGCAGGTACTGTCCGTTTCCAGGGCCTTTGTACTTGGTAATTCCCTCTTACTAAAGACTTTTTCTCTGTTTTTCTTAGAGCTGGATTTTTTTCAATGAATTTGAGGAACTTTCTAAATGAGTGCTTTCTTAATCTCTCTATCCAAATTTATAATGTACCTGTCAATAGTGGAAATCCCCTTTTCTCGCTTTATTTTACTTCAGGGGACCTGCTGCCCTCTGTTGCACTACACATGTAACTCACTGACTATGCTAATGTCTGGTTCCCCACCCAAAAATGTGCACTCCGCAGTGCTGGGATGTTATTCTGCTTCACTCCCAGCTGTATTTATAGCAGTACCTGGTTGTCAAATGTTATTAGACACTTTATTGCAACTCCTCAGTATTGTAACTCCTCAGTATTGTATCTTTTCAAAGATGTTTCTTCTGGTCACCCTGGGGAAGGAAATGATATTCTCACCACATAATTTTCAAGTCCTTGACCCTGGGTATGAATTGACCAGAGTATTAGCAATCTGATTTTGCATTTTCTCTCCCAAAGGCAGAGGTCCTTTATTAAATTTATGGCAAGAAAACTAAGCTTATATTAGTTATCACTATGTCACATATACGCCCAAGTTAACCGATATCAAAAACTGTGCATCTACTTTTTTTTTTTTTTCATGTCTTACCATTTAGACTATAAGTACCTCTACTTTCTGGAAGATGTTGTTTAAGTTTCAATCTTAGAAGGGTAACAGCAATTACAAAGAATAAAATTAAGTTAGTATCATTCAATATGATTAAGCATTAAAACAAAATGCCTTTGAACCAGTGGTACATCCAAAGGGACTTTATATACAACTATCTTGTCATGGCCTGAACCACATGTTCACCTATAATGATTAAAACACTTTCTGTTCACTACAATCATAAACTGTGGACAGTCAAAAAATCAATTTCCAAGTCTTCCCTGTGGCAGCAAATGTCTTTCTTTATAAAGGTGACCTTAGCCTTACCAAGTCTGCTGTGTTAGTCATCTTTCTGTCACCACAACAAAACACCTGAGATAATTAACATATAAAGAGTAAGGCCCACTTGGGCTCACAGTTTAGGGGTTTCCAGTTTAACATCAGGAGAACCCCATGCTTTGGGTCCCTGGTGGGTGTGCCAGATGGCAATGCTCTGGAGTGCCTGGAAGAGCACATTGCTGTCATCAAGCTAGGAATCAAAAGAAGAAGAAAAAGAGACAAAGGTCCCACAAGCTTCTTCAAGAGTACGTCTCCAGAGACATGAAGATCTTCACTAAGGACCACTTCCATAATGTTCTTCCAACTCCCAATTGTGCCAGTCTGGAAACCAAGCCTTCCATACATAGACCCTTGGGGACATTCAAGACCCAAACTGTAGTGCCTGTTAACAGTTTGTTAGCAAAATAGATTCAGACACCAAAATCTTGCTGATCATGGAATGTCCTTGGGATTTTCTATACTTTTCTATGGATCTTGGGTTTATTCAATAGATGGATCTTGGGATTTTTCAATAGATATGGATCCTGTGAGCAGGGTTAACACAAAATTATGAAAATCTTTAGCATGCCCTAGACTTCAGTGATAATTAAACTCCTAATTAATAAAAGAGAAATGTATAATTGGGATGCCACTGTCTTTTAAAAACTTATTTGTTCTTGCCTGATCCACAGTAATGAAAGCAAAACAATTTAATGAAAAAAAACAATTAAGACCCTGAATAACTTGAAAGCCTAGTATCATCTCTGGCACTGACAATATCTAGGAAGATCTCTCAAGTGTGACAGCTCTCAAGGCATTGCTATGACTGGTACACACTCAAAAAGGAATATATATATATATATATATATATATATATATATATATATATATATTTCGTCTTAATGTTAATTGCATCGTATGATTAATCACTGTCAAAATGTTCAGACTTTGTTTTACCTATGAAGAGGTAGTAGGTATAAAAACTACATCAGGATTTTTTAAGCTACTTGAAACCTTCATAAATTAACCCATGGATAATTCCTTCCTTGTGGAAGTTACAACTTTATCAAGACAGTATATAGTAGTAATAACAGGGATACCAAATTATAGCTAAGTCATAATTACCTTAGTAACATCTAGAGTTGATTTTTTTCTGAACATTATTTCAGATGTGTAGGGTCAAGTTATGCAGAGATTGAAGTACCTGTTTCTATACCATTGGAGTAATACAGAAACAGTTCTCCAAAGGAGGGCTGCCCCTTTTGGTTGGTGAAATGATGTTGAAGAGGAAAGCTTATGCACAGACAGTTACAAAGGAATGGACAGTGCTGTATGTTCAGAGAGGCCATGGCTCACACCAATTAAGTTAGGGTAGTTATCATTCTAGACTTGATTTTTTGAGCTCCTATACTTGCAGGAGCATATGTCACATAGAAAGAGTCAAGGATTTATGTACAATATGTATTTATTGTTATATACCACAATTATTTTAAAACTGATTTTCTAGGTAAAGAAGCTATTCCTTACACATTATTGCATATGAATACATGGTTACATGAAGTATGTATGTTTAGAAACATCAATTTTTTTCCAGAAAAATTCATGTGATTATGTGGATCTAAACAAGGCACTCTTTTTATATACTAATTTTTCAGTTTTTGGTGGACACAGCATCTTTATCTTATTTTATGTGGTGCTGAGGATCGAACCCAGCGCGCCGTGCATGCCAATCGCGTTATCGCTTGAGCCACATCCCCAGCCCCTAAACAAGGCACCTTAAAAGTACAGAGTAGAATGGTGGTTTCTGGGGATTGGCAAGAGATATGTTCGTCCAAGAGTGCAAAGTTTCAGATATGAAGGATGAATAAGCTCTGATAATGTAATGTACAGTGTGATTATAACCACACTGTATTGTATACTCATTATTTACTAAGACAGTAGATCTCAAATGTCTCACCAAAGAAGAGGAAAAAAAAGAAAGAACTATAAATGGCATAGGTGATGACTATGCTAATTGACTTAATGAGGGCAAGCATTTCAACATGTATACATATTTCAAAACATCTAGTTGTATACTTTAAATATATATAATTTTTTGTCAATTACACCTCAATAAATCCAGGATAAAAATATATATTTTAGAAAGATTCAAAGAGAGCAAAGAGCACTTTTTCATAAATTTAGAAAGTGAATAGAGGACTGGGAATGAAGCTCAGCTGTAAAGCATTTGCCTAGCAGGTGTGAGGCCACAGGCTCCATCTACATCATCATAAAAAAAGAGAGTGAACATTCTCTGAAGGTTTTGACATTTATTGATGTAAAAAATCATTCATCTTTTTTGCTTTTGACTAATAAGCAAAAGACTTAGTGGTAATTATTTCACAAGGAAAGAACATTTCCAGAAAATAATGACACAACCCTTAGCCACCACCTTTTAACTGCTTTATAACATTTTTAACACTTTTTGGCCATCACATTACAATCACAATGCACATCTAAATAAGCATGTCAACTTAAATAAGCAAGTTAAATGCTTGACTTTCTTCATTTTGGTTTTGTACACAGCAAACACACATAGGAATTTAACTATTACAGAAGAGCTTAACATACCTGTCATGTTGCAGTACACAAGAGCTGGTCCCAGAGGGCCACTTCCATCTGAGTCTATGTAGTAGAAGCCTGAAGAGTTTCCTCTGTGCTTGTAAGCTTCACATGATCGCTCATACAGAGCTGCAAAGAAGACACAGTATCACAGAGGGGCTGTGAGGGAATGGGCTCCTCTCTGCTGCTCATGGCATGTGACTTTTCTCCCATGACATTCATCCTGCCATTGCCCTTGGTCACATCTTCTCTAGGAGGGTGTTCTTCGATCTCAATCAGGCAGCAGAAAAATTCAGAAGCACAGAGTGAAAGATTTGGAGATACTACTGTGAATCAGAATCCTACACATTCTTATTTTCAAAATCAAGCAAACCAGACTTCTCGTCTAGTACAAGTTCTACCTCATAATATTTTTAAGCATCTCAAGTACACCTGCCTAAATGTTGTTACTATCTAATAATCATTGATTTTTTAAAAAAAAACTTTACTCAGTAATTACATCTTTTGTTCACTTAAAACAATTCATATTTAAAACACGTTTTTCCAATGAGTTGAATTTTACATATCAGCAACTTTTAACGCCATTTTAAATTCATTCCCAAAAGACACTTCCTTAAATGCTTTGCAAATTGAAATTTAAAAAATCAAAATATTGACATGACTTTTTAAAATTTCGATTTATTCTAATTCATGGCTGGCTTTTTAATTTGTACACAAATGCTTTGCTATGTACAAGGCATGAGATTAAAATCTGCAGATGGTGAACCTAATTGATATTTAGCAATTTTAAATGAGTAGTCAACCTAGTGTGGGTCACACATTGCCTTGTCGGGAAACCCTTTGGAAAGCCTCAAATGCAAAAGTATCAGATGAAGTGTCCACAAAGATAGACTTGGGCAGTGGCTCAGCAACGGACATCAAGACAAGACATACTAATAGGATATAAACTTAGGCCTTTCCACAGCGATGGCCCTTTCTCTCTCTCTCTCTCTCTCTCTACACACACACACACACACACGTTTATATATATTATGTGTGTATATTTTATATATGTACAGATACATAACCTATATACATTATGTAACACACACACACACACACACACATATATATTCCCCCCATTTCAAATAGTTAAGAATGACCCAGGGAGGAGAATAAAAATTATTTTTCTCTCATCTCACAGAATAAAAAGGACAAAGAAATGTCTGCTTAGTTCAAGGATAATACAAAAGAAAATGTTTTTTGTTAAATATGGTCAAGGGTCTAAATCAGAGGCCACCAAATCAAGAGTCCAACTATTACCATCTCCAACTGATGGAAATATAGACAATATAAATTGTTTTCTCAACATGCTTGGATTTGGGCCACTAATATTCACGTTTCCATAAATAAACAAACATGCCAATAACCACCTAGGAACACAGCTCACAGTGATACATACACATATCAAATTGCCTAGAAGAACAAAAAAAAAAAAAAAAGAGGAAGAATGATTAGAAAAAAAAATAAATGGGAATGTAAATATGCAATAATTTTATACTTAGAACCCCAATCCCTGTCCTCTATCCCACATAAAAATAATGGCTTCATGATCACTTGGTTTTGATTTGGCAATATCCAACTTTCTTTTGATATACCCTTAGAGAATCACAATAAAATCGGTTCATTAACAAACCAAATCATGTGCCACAGGGAGAAAACCCTTTACATTTATCAGTCAAGTTTCTCTTCTCAGTGTTACTTAGAATTATGTTTAGATCACAGCTACTGATAACAAACACATTTGGTTGGTATCTGCTTTGTCTAAGACACTTTTCTAATGTGATAAGGAAACTATAAGTAAAAGAGACCATCTCAGTGTTAACTCTGTGACTGTGACCAAATCCCTAGCCCAAGATTTCTAAGGTTAGATGTCTAACTCCTTTCAAAGGAGACATTCCTTAGCAAATTCTTACCTACCAATGTAAAACTCAGTGAAGATGCGAGTGGAACTGATCACTGGATATAGAGGGGGGAGGAGTCACCTTCTTTTGCTTCTCTTTGGAAATCCCACATCTGGAGACCCAGGGGTCTCATTTCAAACCACACTAGTTCCCTGAGATTCAGTTCCTGCAAAGTTAGATTTAGGACAATCCATTCTCTGCATTATGCACCTCATAATTTGTACCGGAATAAAATTAATTCACAAGGAATAGTTGTTTTTTTTCTTATCCCAACTCAGTCCTGGGTATTAAATCCTTGCACATGCTAGGAAAGTGTTCTACCACTATGCTATATCCCCAGTCCTTTGTAGTCTTTATTTTGAAACAGGATCTCAGTAGGTTGCTGAGAGTCTTGTTAAGTTGCCAAGGCTGGCCTTGGACTGGCAGTGTTTTTGCATCAGCTTTACACATGTGTGCACTACTGCACCAGGGCCATGGAAGGTTTTTTTTTTTTTTTTTTTTTGGTACAATGCTAGTATCCCCCCATCAGGAGGGACTGAAGGAAGCAGACATGAAATTTCATACTCCTCCTCTAAAGACCAAGGGAGAGGGGAAGTGCTATGGAAACAGGACCCCAAATATCAGGAGTGACACACAAATTAAAACACCAACCAACCAACGAGCAAACAAACAAATCTAAAACAAATAGAAGCAAAAGCTAATAATTAGAAAAACATGAGTATTTCATGGGCTCTGTCATATGCTTCTAGAAACTAATGGTCAATAAGATTTTATTAGCTTGAAAACTAAGTAAGCTGTAAGTAAAAGGGACCATCTCAGTGTTAACTCTGTGACTGCGACCAAATAATCTGTGTTTATGTTTGTGTGACACAGAATAATTCTTGAGGAAGGAGATGAGTGGTATTTGACAGTCCTGGCTCCAGTTTCAGAGTTGTAAGTCTGCTGTCAATTTCCTCAGCCTCCTTCCTCCCCCAAGTGCTAAGTGTAGGTGATAATAACTCATCTCCTATGGTTGTTTTGAGTATTCAAGGAGTAAAAACATACAGAGGACTAAAACTGGGCATGCATTTGATAAATTCTGCAGATATTAATTCTTTCCATCTCCTTCACTATCAAACACAGCAAGACTGGGTGGGACCTGAAAGTTTACTATTTTCTCGAACTACTGCCACACTTACTCCTCGTCTGGTATTTCTGAGGTGTTCCTCATTCAATTTTATATTGACATCCTGGCCACATATTTTCTTTGGAAGACACGAAAGAACTGAGATCTGAGAAGTATATGTGTACCCTGATCAAGGAACAGAACAAGATATCACATTGTTTGTTTTTTCTTTGTTTTTTTTTTTTTTGTTCCAGAGATTTTATTCAGGGGCACTCAACCACTGAACCACATACCCAGCCCTATTTTGTATTTTATTTAGAGACAGGGTCTCATTGAGTTGCTTAGCACCTTGCTGTTGATGAGGATGGCTTTGAACTCACAATCCTCCTGTTTCTGCCTCCTGAGCCGCTGGGATTATAGGCATGTCCCACCACACCCAGCTCACACTGTGTGTTTTGAGTGCAGTTTATTTATTTTTAACCTCCTGCTATATTTTATTTTATTACACTTATTTTCCCTTTGCTGGTTCTTTTCTTTTCCTTTTTGCTATGTTATTCTACTTGATACTATGAATTTTTAAGGCTACTTTAACATCAATGGGAAATAAAATTGATAAAAATAAAGCAGCTGAAAACAAGTCTGTAAAAGACTATAGCTTCCTGTTTTCTGGTACATGGGTGCATGGACACAAACACATATGCACAAAAGAATGAACGGGATATAAGAACAGAAAGGAGAGCCAGTGAGTTGTGTGGCTTACAGGAATGGCAGGTGGCTCCCACGTAGCCAGTGTGAGTGCAGTCGCAGGAGAAGGTATCCCAGGACTGGGAACATTCACCCCCATGTTCACAATAGCTGGGCAAACACCTAAAGAAGGACAGACAGACACACTGCTGTTTCCCACATTCAGTCATAATAAAATGTGCATGTACAGGGAAAGATGAAGGACAATAGTCAACAGAAATATTTCAACAAGACCAAAGACTGTGGAGTCTGTCCTCAAGGTCACCTGACACAACCACAAGTTCATAAGTGCAGTAGATTCTCATGTATTTGTGACAGATACATTTTCAACACTTTGCTTTTTATCAGAAAAACTGTTTGCTTCTTATAAAAACATAAGATTTATTTCATACATGATCAGGATATAAATTGCTTGCAACAACCATAGACAGACACACATTTCCCCTTAGTCCTTCCACACCCTTGTGATGTGACACTGCAGATCTTTCCATCCAACCTTGAATGTAAGTTGGGCATGTGACCAAATTTAACCAAAGAGACATTTTAACAACACAATATTTAATAATTTAATGCAAAAAGAACAGGTTTCTTTTGTAAATCTCAAATATACTTCTGGTATGTATACAACGAAGTTTTTTGCCTAAAAGCACAACAATCTGATACATGTGTTATTTTCTAACTTGCTTGCATTTCCCCAAAGGTCCATTGGCTTTAATTCTTTGATATCCATCATGATTTTTATATATAAAAATTTGCATAGATAAATACAGCCTTGTTCACAAATCTGAAGCAGTTTATAAGATCATGATTTATTCTTATTCCCTCTTCACTCCAGTTCATTGTTCAAATTGTTTCCACACAACTGCTAGCAAATAGACTGAAATTCATCACATCATGATATTTAGGAAAAACAGAAAACTAAAACTAAAACATTGAACAACCATCTTTAGAAAGATACAAAGTCAAGAAATTTCCCCTCTTGACCATCCACACAAAAATATAAAGGGTGAGAATCCCAAAGCAGGATTAAATTAAGCAAAAAACTGATAAGATCCTAAAACTGTATTAGGAATGAGAGATTCACAGCAATAGTAAAATGTTTGCTTATGAGAAGACAATATAGGGCTGGATAGGGATGTAGGTAAGTGGTAGAGAACTTGCATAGCATGCACAAGATCTAAATTCAATCCCCAATACATTAAAAATATAATAATAAGGGCTGGGGTTGTGGCTCAGTGGCAGAGCACTTTCCTACCATGTGTGAGGCACTGGGTTCGATTCTCAGCACCACATAAAAATCAATAAAGGCCTACCAACAACTAATAAAATATTTAAAAAAAATAATAATAACAACACAGTAAAGTGTGAGCACTTGGAAGTGCACAGAAAAGCAGGTAGCTCCTATTCTGTTCCAATGTTCTCTGTTGCTCCAGGGACCAATTTGCAAATTAAAAAAATGCAAAAAAAAAAAAAAAAAAAAGTAAAATAAACACCATCAAGTGGAAAGTAGAAAACCCAAAAGATAAAAAGGAATAGCTGTTTATTTTACTTTCTTTCCCCCTCTAACACTGCACAAATTATACTTCCAGATGCTGAAATTCTTGTATATGTCACCAAGCATTATCTTCTAATCTTTGGTTTTCCTTGAAAAAAAAAAAAAAGGAAAATCTTCAATGTCAATAAAAATAGGAAACAGGCAAATTTGTTTTAAGAAAGAAAAATGTATTTGATTTTGAGAGTCTACTGGGATAATGCTTATTTGTAAATTCTGACAGTGTTCAAAACAGATTGTTAATCTTAAAGTGATCGATGTTGAGAATACACTGATAATCAGTTTATACCAGTGAAGGTCACATTTATATTATGAGATTCATACAAAAGCCTATTCAGCTTACTTTACAGAGTGAATCCTGAGGATGGGATACCCATACCTTACAAGTCAGCAGGTCAATTACATAGCAGTGGAAGGAAACAGAACAAAATATAGCAGAGATACCACAAGCCAGACATTTCATACCAAACATTAAAAAACCTGAACTAGTTCTAGTCTGGTTTAGCTGTTCTCTGAGTTCTGACATTATTCCTTGTATATGGATTATACAAGTGGTATCAATGCCAAGCCCAGGATGTTAACTAGAGAGCTACAGCTTCGGGCAGGAGCTCTGGTCTCCATATCCCTCAGCTCTAGCTTTGCAACACTTATGTGCTTCCTGAGATGGCAGACCCACAGTAGAACCAGCAAAGTGCTGCTAGCCAGGATGGTGGAGTGGCCATTCTTCATAGCGTAGATGTGGTAAGTGGTGGTGAACTTCCCAGACCTGGTATGACAATTCCTTTTCAGCCCCAGTGTTGGGAGCCTGTAAGGGGGAGGCTGAGGGCATCCTGTATCTGAGGCCTGGTCTTTATGGGTCTCCTCTGAGGAACAGAGTGCCTCACCTTAATACCACCATCCTGACCTTTTATGGCTGGGTCAGAAATATCCCTGAGCAGGACTCTGAAAATGGTGGATGAGGAAAAAGGTTGAAGGAGTGAACTCTCTTGTCTATAAAGTGAAGGACAAGACTGTGACTCTGAAGAATGGTGTCCAGGTCCAGATGAGGCCCATAACTCATTTCCTCATGGAGTTTAAACTATGAGCACAGAACACAAAAGCCTCAACTGTTTGCAAAAGTTACAAAACTGCCAATTCTCCTCTTGAGCTTGATGTCTGCTTCTTCCAAGGAGTAGAAACTTTGGGATACCTCTGTCAAAGTTAATCCTGCTTTGTCATTTGAGACACTGACACTAGAATGAAACCCAATTTCTTATAAGAGGACACACATGAACACTGACAAGAGGCCTTCCAGGTTTCAAGGGAAAGAAGCCAGATTCAGTGTTAAGAGTTGGAAGGTTCACTTCACAGGAGAAAACAGTGATGTCTCTTCATCTCCAGGGCTGGGGGGCAGACCAACCTGCTTACCTCTACCACCAACCCCAGGCCCTCTGAAGCTCTTACTTCAGTGGCTGAAATTACTGGCCTCCTCCAGGCCTGAGGGCTTCTCCCATAAGCCCACTCTCTACATTCCTGGCTAGATCGTGAGTCCACAGAGAGGACCAGATGTCAGATACAATGAGAAAAAACCAACATGTCAGTGTACCCCACCACATTGGGTGTGTGCCTATGTGAGAGCCTGAACATGCATGTGCTGGAATGTTAGTGTGCCCAAGTTATATGTGCCTGTGTGCCCAAGTTATATGTGCCTGTGTGCCCATTGTAAGAGTATACCAGTGTGTGTAAGTGTGCTTGAGTGTGTGCCTGTGTGTGCCCTTGTGTGAATGTACCTGCACATGAGTATGCATAAATACATCTGTGAGAGTGTGTAGGTACATCTATGAGTATCTTATCTAACTTGAATATAGTTCACTGCCAAAGATCTGGGGTTCATAGGGAGCCGTGTGCTCAGCTCCCTGGCACTGTTTACACAGCAGTGAGGAAATATAAGTCTGCTCCAAGAATAGACAGAATCCATGAGAAGGTAGCTCATGGCTCCTCCAAACACTGCATGGGCCTGAACATGTATAGATTCCAAGAAGATGTCAACCAGAGTTGATGTAGAAAAGGGAAACAAGGATTCAGATACCTCTTAATACTTTCATGTTTCAAAAACCGTTAAGAGACCAGGGTTTTTAGCCTGGTGGGGAGCTGATTCTGGCAGTCAGTTAAATGTCCAGCATATATTTACAGGGCTTGAAGTGAGAGAGGGTGTATAGACTTGCTCACAGCAGCTGCTATGATTGGAACATGTCCCCCAAAAGTTCATGGGTTGGAAACTTTATCCTTAAATTTACATGTTGGCTACAGTTAGAGTAGCTGGAGGTGAGGCTTTGGGAGGTAATTACAGTTAGACCATGTCCTTAGGGTGGGTCCACCATGATGGCATTAATGGCTTTATAAGAAGAGGAAGAAAGACCAGAGGTGAAACATTTGCTGTCTCACCATGTGTTGATGCAGCAAGAAGTCCCTCACTAGATGCAACTGTCCCATCTTGGACATCCAAGCCTCCAGAATAGTAAGCTAAATAAACCTCTATTCTTTTCTTTTATTTATTTATTTTTAAATTTTGAGACAGGGTCTTGCTAAGTTGCTTGGGCTTTGCTAAGTTGCGGAAGCTGACCTTGAATTTGTGATCCTCCTGCCTCAGCCTCCTGAGTCACTGGAATTACAGGTATGAACCACCACACTCAGCTAAACCCCTATTTTTTGTAAAACACCCAGGCTGTGGTATTCAGTTCTAACAACAGAAAATTCTAAGAAGAAAAGACACTCATAATTAAGAGGAGAAATTCAGTTCACCACCAATGAGCCATTTCATGAACAGGCAGAGAGAGGTCTTGTTTGCAAATGACCGAGTAGAAGCAGGATCATCTTCTCTCAAATGATAAGCTAAAAAATACATCTCTGCTTTTAGGTGAAAACTCCTGTAGGTGACATGTCTCAGTCTCTTCTCAACCTTAAGGTTGTTTGCTTCTGTAGTCCTCCCACTATATCAAGATTTAATAGCTGAACCTCTGGGTCCTGCCCCTCCAAATATCCTGCTTCTTCCACATCATCATTCTACTGAATGACACTAGCCTTTAACCAGCTCTCTACATGTTCCCTTGCCATTACCCCAAAGGCTTGCAGCAAGTCAACTTGTGATTCTGCTCTTGTAAATCATTCATATTTTCTGGTTCCCTAGTTTATCTTATCCTTATTTTTCACTTGAGAGAAATTGCAGTAGCTTCTTACCAGGTTTCCTGGCCTCCAATCATACATTGTCTCTCTATTTTCTGCACCCAGGTCATGTGTCAAGACTCTATGCTCAGAGTCTTGCTTATACACACACACATAAGTGACTTCTTAACTTCAAGTCCTTTAGCAATTTCCCAGGGCATCTCAGATGAATATTCAAGCCTTCAAGTTAGCACCCAAACCTCTAGCCTGATGTAGCCCATGACTGGAGAGGCAGCCCCATCTCCAACACCCACTGATCTCCTCAACACAGAACTTCTACACCAGCCATCCACACTGGGGTCAGACTCCCCCTAGCACTGGGGACTTGGACACAAGGCTGTTACTTCCTCTGCCTGCTTCCAACTGAATTGACTTACCTACCTTCTGCCCCATTCAGGCATCTCTTCCTTTTCCTTGAACAGCATGTCTTGACCCAACAGAAATGAGACAGCTCTCCATATAGTGCCAGAGAACCTCCCACTCCCCACCAACTTCCATTTCATCCTATTTACTACAGAATGGATTGGCATAATTTTCTATAAAGGGAAAAATACTAAATATTATAGGCCTGTAGGCCACATAGTCTCTGCCAAAACCATACAGCTCTGCAATTATTAGGAGAAAGTGAATATAGACATTATGCAAATGAACTGGTATGGCTGTGTCTCAATTAAACATTATTAACAAAAGCAAACAGCAGTCCCTGGACCCTGGTATGTCAATTCCTAAGCTGTATCAAGGCACAACTTCTTAGCTCAAACATTGCACTTCAGAACCCATGGGGGTGGCCTGACTAGGGCAGAGTCAGGCCCCTTTACCATCAATTTGAAAAAACAAAACAGTTCATTGTTTTCCTTTCTGGTATTTTCAAACTTTGTACATTCCACACTTTTTAATAGTTTGAAAATTATTGTTAAAGGAATAAATAATATTATGTTTTACCTTAAAGTGTTCTGGGACACAATTTTTTAAAAAGTAATAAAGAACTCTAAGTTTGTAGTAATTTTCAATTTTTTTGTTTAAAAATAAAATGTACAATATGTGCTATTGGAGTTGGCATGGAAAAGATGAATACTCAGCCTGAGACCATGCAGATGGGAAGAGGTGGCAATGATGGTCCCAAAAAACACTGTGAGCAGAGTTAGAGGAAATTGAAATCTTAATATCCAAAACACAATTGGTATAATATACAATTTCCCATTTCCACTACTGTCATCCTTGAAGCCTATTATGGTTCAAATATGGAATGTCCCCAAAATTTCATGTATAGGAAGCATGGTCCCTAATACAGCAAGGTTCAGAGGTGGGTCTTTTAGACAATGATTAGGGCTCTGCTTTCATCAATGGATTAACCTATTGATAATCTGAATGGATTGAATGGAGTGAGACCTAGCTGGAGGAAGTAGGTCACTGGGAACATGACCTTGCACAATATCTATCCTGGGACCCTTCCCTTCTCACTCTGTCTCAGCATGTGCTCAGCAGCTTTCTTCTGCCCTGATCTTCCACCGTGATGGAAGGTCAGAGCAACAGAGTTGGCCAACCATGGACTAAGATCTCTAATATCATGAGCACAAATAATTTTTTCTTCCTCTTTGTGGATAGGAAAGCTAACACAAAGTTAACACACTTGCATGCCAAAGCAACTGGCCATTTTCCCCATAAAGCATCTCTTGGAACCACCAGAAGACAGATCACTCCATGTAGATGCATCCTGATTTGGCTCAGGAAGGGTATTTATGTTCCTGTCAGATTATAAACATCTTTTCATAATCTTTTTTATCATTTGAGACAGGAATGGTCTATATATCAGTAATTATTAATTCCTTTGCCAGATGGATATGTTATGAAATCCCCTGCATTATTATAATAAATCATGACTGTATATGAGCAAATATGAATGTTTTTGGCAGACAGAGAAGTGGTCTGGGTAGATGTTTTGGTGCCTTGCAGAGGGCTGGTGAAAGCCTGGGATTGGGAATGTTTGTTTTGTCCTGTTTTGAAATTAATCTATTTTTTTATGGAGTATTGGACATGTAGTTAATAGGTATGGCCTAAAGAATAAGAGAAAAACAAATGTTTTTCTTATCAGAATGAGGGCATATTTTTAGACATTAAACCATCAGAACCATAAAAACTTACAATTAGTGACTATATTACCATACAAAGTACTCTCAGCTATTTTCATAACAACTCAATTTTTACTTAAAGAAGATTATCTAATATTCTAGAAATCTCTAAGGAAAGGTACATAGATACTTACACACTTCTAAGGACTTTTAAGTGTGATATGGAAAAATCTTCCCATTTTGGTGACATTTACACATATGCTCATGTATCCTCATATATATATATATATATATATATAATATCAGGTATTAAACCCAGGAATGCTTAACCATTGAGCCCCATCCCCAGCCCCAACTTTTAAATTTTTTTTTTTTTTGAGGCATAGTCTAAGTTGCTCAGAGCCTCACTAACTTTTAAATTTTTGATCCTCCTGCCTCAGCCTCCTGAGCCACTGGGATTACAGGTGTGCATCACTGTGCCTGGCTCAGATTCTTTACATAAGACAAATATTGAGAATTCACCACACTTTATAAGGTAATTCTGGCTATACTAAAACAACTTCCTGTGATTCTACTGATAACTTAGGCAATTGCCAGTGAAATATGACTTCCAACCTTTGACCTCTAACCCACTGGACAGTTGTCATCCTGGGTAGGAGCTCTGTCCTGAAGATAACAATGTCAGTGTTATTTTATGTCATCACAACAATAGCAGATGTCATTGTTTCTGTTCATTTAATTCTCTTCTTAATTATTGTCCATCATTGCCAGAATATTTATATGTTGAACAAGGAAATGTACTTCATAAAATCCATGCTCTGTAGCAATCCTTGGACTAATAAAGTAAGTGACATGGATTCTTAAAGGAAATCAGCACCCCATGATTTGATGTCTAGATCTTCTCCTGACACTGAAACTTGGGCACCAGAGCTGGCTGCAGTTACTCCTTATGAATGATGGCAGTTTCTTTGCCATCTCCCACACTCCCCCAAAAACTATATTCTGAAAATTAGGATTGTAGGTTTCTGACTAAAATTATTTGTCTCTTTGATTTCACTATAAAAGAATAAACTGTGAACATGACAACATAAACATTTGCATTTAAAAAATCTGAGACAGTATTTCACATACTAGGGAAATATGGTCTTTATGAACACATTGCCAAATTGCAATTGTGACTTAAAGTTTATTGGCTATGACATGAAATTTCAATTAGTGATAAATTTAGAATAAACTTCTTGTACAAAGTATTTTACATAGCTATTTCAAGAGGTTCAGAGGCACGGATGTGGAAAGATTTAAGGAATTTGTTTATGTATTCAGTATAAACCTTTTGCATACCCTGCTTCAGAAAAGGCATTAAACTGGGTATATCTGGTACAGGAAAAAAAATTTTAGTCTATATGGCTAAGCTTATCCTTTTAGCCAAAATGATTTAAAAGTTAGATAATACGGTAAAGAAGAAAACTTGAATAAAATTACAATGTTTAACAATTTTATTATACTATAGTGATAAACCTTTGCTTTTCTTATCATCTTCATTGAACTAGTGCAGTGCTTAGCTCTGGGGCAACTGGGGATCTCTTTATTTTGCTTACAACATTGCTAAAATTTCCTGAAGCATCAACCTTTCTTGAAACAAGATTTACTTCTCATTTTCACTATAGAAAAGGGAGCTAACCACATATGACTTTGATTTACTGGCCCTCACTGATCCACTATCTTTTTAGAATAGTCTAATCTGTTCTCTGTAATGAGACAATTTTTAAGAATATCTATACTTGTCAGTATTTATTCACATCAGTGATTACAAGCATCAGTAATACTCTGTAAGACTTTAAGTGATTTACAGGTATATGAAAGGAAAATCCATGAGTGTGTCTTCCAAGACAACACTGTTTGAAAGGAACAACTGTTTAAAACCAAAGATGTTGTTCTCTTATTTTCAATGTGTTACAGTTTGGATCTTAAATATTCCCTAAAGGTCTAAGTGTTGAAGACTCAATCCCTAGCCAGTGGAAGGTTGTGGAATCTTTAAGAGGTAAGCCTGCTGTCATGAAAGGCATGAAAAAAAGTGTGTTTTTACAGTTGTGCCTGTGTTTTTAATTAAAAGAAAGAAAGAAAAAAAAAATACTGAAACAGGTGTGCTGTAATGATCTAGGATGGCCCCTACCTGTCTGTGATGCCACAGGAGTCTATCTGAAGGTCCCTGAAGTTTCCCAATTCTCCCTGCTGTACTGAGATGGGATCCACCACTGTACCGCCAATGGAGATAAGCTTCAGGCAGCCCTGAAACCCTCTCAGGGGATTTTCACATTGAGAGCCAGAGCTATTGTCAGGATAGCCTGAAAACAGAGACAAAGACAGGAGAAAATCAACAACTGTAACAAAGCTATTTCACAGTATTTATTGTAAAAAGACTGTTGCTTCCCTTGTTTACAGGCACCTGAGGATTAGACTTCCTAAAACACCTGGAAAGGTCACAGATATGAGGATGATAGTGGGGTAACAAAGGGAGTTCATAACTCACTTGAAACTATTGTTCGAAGTATGATATGTCAAGAGCTTTGTAATGTTGTGAACAACCAATAAAAAAAAAAAGAAAAGCTGTAAATAAAGAGAGAGCATGAAAATAATCATTAGAGTCAAGCTTACGGGAAGACAAGAGGAAGAAAAGATGTACAATCCTGCAAATAGTTATTGCACCTTTAATTTAAGCAAAGCAACACAAGAAAACAATACTTGTAGCATAATACTAGACCATATAAACTAAAAGACATGTTACAGTAGTACCAGAAGAAAATTATAGGCATATCAATACTGGCTAAGTTTAAAATGTTTGAAAAGTAATTTTAAATTGAATATTGACATAAATATGCTGAACTTGCCTAAATATTAAGTTCAATATCTACTCTAATGTGTATTTGCACATATATACATACACATATTTTAATATTTTATAATAATTGGTCATATAAATCTAACTTCTCCCATCTCTTTTGAATGAGGCACTGTAATCAAACATCTTTCAACATTATTTTTGAACATTAATGAACAAAAATTAACAAGTGTTTTTACAATGATATGGCACTGCAAAGAAGAGAAAAATTAGCATCTATAATAGTCCATTTAAAAAGGGCAATATTAATAATTAAATTTTACAAGTCCTGCCATCTCCACCATTAATCAGTTTTCTTTAAGTTACGAACTGCATTTCCTATATAGTAGTTTTATCTCACACCTTGATTTCTCTAGATGAATGTTATGGTTTTGATATTAGGTGTCCCTCAGAAGCTCATGTGAGACAATGCAAGAATATTTAGAGTTATAATGATTGGGTTATAAAAGTCTTAATCTAATGTTAATCCTCTAATATGGGTTATAAAATGTTAATGTTAATCTAATGTTGATCCCCTAATATTGGGTTATAAAAGTCTTAATCTAAATTAATCCTCTAATATGGATTAACTTCACGTTGACTGTAAATTGGTAGGGTATAGCTGGAGGACATGGTTCCAGGGGGCATGCTTATTTTTTCCAGGGGGCATACATATTTTGTCTGTGGTGAAGGCAGTTTCTCTCTCTCTCTGCTTCCAGGTGGCATGTCCCCAGCTGCTTTCCTCTGCCACATCTTTCTGCCATGATGTTTCGCTTCACTCCAGCCCCACTGAGTCATCAATGTCATCAATGGTCTGGAACCAAAATATACTTTTCCTCCTCTGAAATAGTTCTTGTCAGGTCTTTTGGTAACAACAGTAAAAAGCTGATTAAAACAATGACAATGATCTTATAACAATGAAGAGCAAGGACATCTCTTTGAAATCCAAATTAAAGCAAGAAGAGTCCACAGCATATCCTTCAGCCCATATGCAGACAGCAAGCACTTGAGTATTTTCTCACCCTCTATTCAGTTTCCCTTCTCAAACAGTCTCAGGTTTTTAGATTTGCATACTGCAAGATAAGCAATGAAAAAGAGGGAAGTAAAAGAAAAGGAAAGAGGATGCAGTACCTGCAAAGAGTTTTTGTAATAGGTAACTCTTTGAGAAAGTGAACACTGCACAATACAGCCCAGTCCTCCACTCATAGTGCCTTTTCAGGACTGAGGTGGGCCCTCCCCAGGGTCTTAAGGGATCCTACAAGCTTCTAGTGACAGCCCTCTTAGGGGCTACCCAGCATCCAATGATGCAGTGGAGAGATACGGTGACCGAACTCCTTGGCTCAGCTGGGACATCCCCAAGAAGCATTGCTGCTGAGTCTCCCTGAAGTCTTCTGAGTGTTCTGTTGTAACAGCATTACTGCAGCTCAGCTTTGTCCCCCATCCACCTCCAGTAGCTCTCTCAACTTTCCAAGGGTTGTTCCAAATTAATTCTCCCCACTAAGCCACCTGTGTAAGAATCTCCCACAGAGTCAACTTTCTGGGGAGCCCAATCTAGAACAAAGAAAAATAAAATTTCAAAGCACTTATTGAATCCAATACTTAATTTTCATATGCAAATGTGAAAATTATACAGCATTTAAAAAAGACTGCTGTAAACCCTAAAAATTATAAATTTTATGAGAAGTATAATTGAAAACAGTAATAAAATAGTGGAGAACATTTATTTATTCTTTGCTTTAAAAAATTATGTTTCATTTTTATTATTTCAGAACTGTTTTTAAACTTTGTAGATATGTTAATATTAATTATCATCTTTTTTGCTACATGTTTTCCAATGATTTAATATTAAAGAGTTCTAATGCTGATATTTATAACCTTATTTTTAAGACTAGTTTACTTTTTCAATTGAAAAATTTGTTATTTGACAGGTAACTTGTGAATTAATGTAAAGAAATGACAGGGCTGGGTGTTGGGGAGTACTTGCCTAGCACATGTGAGGCACTGGGTTAGATCCTCAGCACCACATAAAAGTAAATAAGTATAATAAAGATAATGTATCTATCTACAACTAAAAATATATTTTAAAAAGAAATGACAATAACCTGCATATACAATAATTCAAAATATTTTCACTAAGCACCAAGTAGAATAGTTTCCAATCTTTTTACCAAAATCTCCTTTATCATTCAAAGACTGCCCCAAACTTAGATTTTTAATCAAGAAATTTAAAGCTGCCAATCAGAGCTTCCAATTAGCATAAGATGACAAGGTTAAATCCTTATAATGTGAGTAAAAATAACTTGAAAGCTTTAACCTATTTTTTTTGGGGGGGTGGGGGTACCTGGAATTGAACCCAGGAGCACTTAACCACTGAGCCACATTCCCAGCCCTTTTTTTATTTAGAGATAGGGTCTCACTGAGTTGCTTAAGGCCTTGCTTAAATTGCTGAGGCTGGCTTTAAAATTGTGATCCTCCTGCCTCAGCCTCTGGAGCCACTGGGAAAACAGGCATGCACCACCGCACCCCACTGTAACCTACATGCACCCCACTTAACCTATACGTTCTAACTGAGGGAATCAGCTGGTTTTAGGAAGGAAATTATAGGTTATAGGTCCACATGCCAAATATCATCCACAAAGCACTGGAACAAAATGAGTAAAAAGTATTATACTTGAAGTGAGAACAAAGCATCATATAAAATATATGGTCTTATATCTTCAAGGGAATAATTCCCAATTTCTATGGGCATACAATGTAGCAAGGGGTACAGAATCAGATAGGATTCACTAACCCATAAGGGAGAAAAAAGGAAGGACAATGGGAGGAATAAAAATTCCTGTGCCCTGGGATGAAATGGGAAGGGTATTTGGAACCTTCATAAATCAGATGGTATCTAGGCCAGACCAGGAACATGAGTGGATGTCTGCACATGTTGGGGAAGAATCTTCAAGGCTGGAGAGAACAAAATGAACCAAGCCATTGACCCACAGATCTACTATTCAAAAGAAAGCAGAGTGTTTGTAAAGGGATGCAGTCTAATAAGAGATGTATAAAACAGAAAAAGGAACACTTCCTTCAATGAAAGGGCAAAGTACCTTCCCCAGTGGAGACACCCCATGCACTCTGTAGAGGTCACATAGCTGAGGATCACTATGCAGGTCACCCGGAATCCCAAGGCTCTAGATACCTGGCATCAAATCCATGGGCAAGAATATTCCTTCATGTAAACTGTCTCTTCTCCAAAAATTAAAACAACAACACAAGCAAACAAAACAAAACTCAAAAGTATAAGAATCAGAGTGAGCTTTGACCCCTGGTGCTTCACTGGTGTCTCAGCTGTCATGCTAGGGAGACAGGGTCTGCTTTGTTATTCACACTGGTTCATTACTACCAGGCATCCAGCATATCATGTCCTAATACAGCTCCCTTCAAAAGCAGTAAACACCACACAAAACATAAATTTACTAAAATAAAAAGAAGCATCAAATTAAGGATCTACTATAACACTACGAAACTAACTTAGCATATTTTAACCCTTTTGTGACCCATTTATAGAATATGTGCACTCTATAGTGTGCACTCTATAATGCTCTGGAATCCTTACAAACATTACATTAGATTGCTGTTTTAGTCAGCTTTTCAACTGCTGTGACTAAATGATCCAATCAGAACAAGTGTAGAGGAGAAAAAGTTTATTTGAGGGTTCACAGTTTCAGAGGCTTTAGTCCATAGAAGGCTGGCTCCATTCCTTGGGGCTTAAGTTAAGACAACATCATGGTGGAAAAGTGTGACAGAGGGAAGTGGCTCACATGATGATTACAAAGTAAAAAATGAGTGACTCCACTGGCCAGATACAAATATATACTCCCAAACCATGCCCCAATTCTCACCTCCTCCAGTCACATCCTAACATTTCAGTTACCATTCAATTAATCCCTATCAGGGGATTAATTTACTGATTGGGTTAAGACCCTTATAACCCAATCATTTCTCCTCTGAACTTTCTTGCATTGTCTTAACATGAGCTTTTAGGGAACAACACATCTAAACCATAATAACTGCTCTTCTTGATACAAAGTCTTGAAACAGCAAATTTACATATTATTCTATCAAAAAAGGCCTACAATCAAACTCCTTCCCTGATTCTCAGACTACTTTGATATTTTTTCCCCTCTGAACATAACAAACTAAAAGCTGGAGACAAAAAGATCAAGACATAATAATGGAAACTTTTTATAAAACAAGCAAGAAGCCTTAAGAAATTATGTGGGGCTGGGGATGTGACTCAAGTGGTAGCGCACTCGTCTGGCATGCGTGCGGCCCGGGTTCGATCCTCAGCACCACATACAAAGATGTTGTGTCCGCCGAAAAACTAAAAAATAAATGTTAAAAAATTCTCTCTCTCTCTCTCTCTGTCGCTCTCTCTCTTTAAAAAAAATTATGTCATCACACTAATACTCTAAACTT